GTGCCTTCCCAGCATGCTTCTTGTACTATTGATCACGTGGTATTCTAGTTAAGTATTGAAGATTCATCAATGAGTGAAAATTTCAAAAACTAAATATGCGGGACAATTAAATATTACCAGTGCCTAACGCCATTCAGCCGAACCCTTTAATAAATGTATAATCTGATTTAGCAATTAAACAGTGTGGTCAGCAAGTCCCTGTAATCATGTTTAAATATTTTATATTATCAGAGCATTGAACCTCACCAAGAGGTAAGTTCGGTAATTTACTAGCTTTACTGTATTAATGCTTTTGACACTCGAGTGGGTTCTCTCGAGGCCTTACCAGCTATACGTAGGTAGACTCCTTCTAATTTAGTTGGTGTAAACAATGTAGATCAAAAGCTGACATTTACTAAGTAATTATGTAGTATTAAAAAAGGTAGGGCAGTGGAATGATAAAGGAAAGTCAACGAAACACATCCGGTCGGTTATGTCAACAGATATCAATGGAGGAGACATGATTAACCTTTAAGTTTCAATATCTGGTATGGAACACTTCGGCACAGACAGCAGTTACCTTATCAATTATGTGAAAATGCACGAATCATGCTGAAGCTTCTAAATGCCACTTAAAGATATTGAGATATTCTGAAATCAGTGCCCATGCAGTGATTATATGCGCAAATTGGGTAAAATGCAATGAAACCTCGTAACAATTGACAATTTATCAAGTTATCCGTGATTCGAGCCATGCTGTGAAAACCCAAATAGACTGGATTGACAATAAGGATTCTATCTTCTCAGGTATGGGACTGCTCTCCATATGGCACTGTCTGGAGAATTCCTTCAAACATTCAAGCCGTGATAAGAATGTTCAAATGCAAGAAGAATATGATTAAGGAGAATCCATTATCGCCTCATCAATGTTATAATTTATCTGAGTGTTTTCATTTTCTTTAACACTGTTGTCAACTGTCAAAAAGCTAACATAACAGTTAACAGTTATCATATACTTGGACGGTTTACCCTCGAAGTTCCATTTCAGATTTTGGTTGGTTGGTTTGTTTTTTAACGCCGCACTCAGCAATATTCCACCTATTTGACGGCGGTCTGTAAATAAACGAGTCTGGACCAGACAATCCAGTGACTGATATCATGAGCATCGAACCACGCAATTGGGATCGATGACATGCTTCAACCAAGTCAGCGAGCCTGACCACCCGATCCCATTTGTCGCCTCTTACCACAAGCATCATCGCCTTTTACCGCAATCATGGGTTGCTGAAGACCTATTCTACCCCGGATCTTCACTTCCATTTTAAGAATCAGCTTCGATGCCCCAGAGAACTTAACGATATTACTCTAATCTATTTTTCGTTTTGAGAGAAATCATCTCATACGATGTACTGATAATATGTGCAGAAAAAGAATTCCATTTTGACAAATTTAGGCCACGAGTTACTTTACTTTACTTTACTTTTATGATATAACTAGATGCCCATCTTTTACTAACATCGTTCTCCAGTGTGTGGAGAAGACACCATGCCTTCTAACATTATTTCGTCTAACTCTACTTTGTGTTCGTATTGCCACATGTCTATTATTTGTCACTTTGACCTTCCCCACTGAAACAACATAGAGATACATGCACGAAACAATGTTAATAACTCCAAGATCATTTAAAATGATTCAGCTGTCCATCATATTAAGGCGTCAATGAGGTGAGGTTATCATTTCAATATATAAGTCGGTGTAGCGTGTGTATGTACGTGTATATTCTGTTATTTGTTATACATTAAATATAAAACGTCAACACCAGAGAATAACCAGATAATCTGCCGAAACAGATTCTGTTGGACAAAATAGTTGTGAAAATGATATGAATGGATCACTGGAAATCGGTGATGAGACCAGGTGTTCGGGATGAGGGTAAGCATGTTCTGCTCCTCCAGAAGCATCCGCCACTCACACACAATTTGCTTAAAGTGTTTGTTGCCCAACGCTGCACATCAGCCCTCCTGCCATACGACGGCGACCCGCAAACCACCGAATCCTGACCAGACAATCCACCGATAGTGACCAGACAATCCACCGATAGTGACCAGACAATCCACCGATAGTGCAGACAATCCACCGATAGTGACCAGACAATCCACCTATAGTGATCAGACAATCCACCGATAGTGCAGACAATCCACCGATAGTGACCAGACAATCCACCGATAGTGCAGACAATCCACCGATAGTGACCAGACAATCCACCGATAGTGCAGACAATCCACCGATAGTGACCAGACAATCCACCTATAGTGATCAGACAATCCACCGATAGTGCAGACAATCCACCGATTGTGCAGACAATTCACCGATAGTGACCAGACAATCCACCGAGAGTGCAGACAATCCACCGATAGTGACCAGACAATCCACCGATAGTGCAGACAATCCACCGATAGTGACCAGACAATCCACCGATAGTGCAGACAATCCACCGATAGTGCAGACAATCCACCTATAGTGACCAGACAATCCAGCGATAGTGACCAGACAATCCAGCAATAGTGACCAGACAATCCACCGATAGTGACCAGACAATCCACCGATAGTGCAGACAATCCACCGATTGTGCAGACAATTCACCGATAGTGCAGACAATTCACCGATAGTGACCAGACAATCCACCGATAGTGCAGACAATCCACCGATAGTGACCAGACAATCCACCGATAGTGACCAGACAATCCACCGATAGTGACCAGACAATCCACCGATAGTGACTAGACAATCCACCGATAGTGCAAACAATTCAGCGCCAGGACAGCGCGTTCCCCGATTCTACCGCCGCCCACACAAGAAACCTCAAGTCAGTACTTAGAAATGTTTCCCGGACGATTAGTTTTCGAGACAGATTTAATACTAAATTAAACATATTTGAGCATATATGCGAGAATACTTCTCGACCGCAAGTAGCAGCTGGGTTGATTTCAGATAAATAGTCGATGAAGCTCACTATTTGTAGTGTTTGTTCAAAACAGTTAAATTACAGTATCTACCCTACATGTGTCCACATCTGTCATTTAACTGAACATTCGGAGCATAACATCGCATGCAGGTATGATTTTGCAACGCAATTACAACACAAGGCAGTACTGTGCTCGCAAAGACTTATTTTTGCTGCGAGGACATTAAATGGGGCGCATAGTGAGTTGAATGTGTTTTGATATTGCAAAGACACTGGCGGACCTAGAAGAGTAAACTCTACAATTTCACCCTGTTCCTGGAACCCCCAAATTCCGTCCATCCCCAAATGACATGCCGTGTGTTCATGTATACTCACACGCAAAAGAAACGCAAGTCGAGTATGCAGTATAAATGTTATTTATTTTCAACAGTAAAGACAAGAAATACTAATAGAGCAAGATTGACAAAATTTTGACTGAAGACAGTTTAATGGATTAAAAGGCAGATGACATAATCGATTTTTTTCAAATGTTAAGGGCTTACACAGTTTCGGGTCAATACCCAAAATGTTAGTCAATACCTGGTGTGACCACCATTAGCATTGATCACTGCCACACATCGCCTGTACATTGAGTGGATCAGACGATTTGTGAAGGCCCTAGGGATCCTAGCCTCCTGCACACATCCAGAGCAGCTGTGCGTAGTTCATCGGCAGTTGCAGGGCTGTGGGCTGGCCACGGTAGAACACGGATGTTGTGTTGTTGCAGAAAGGTCATGGTAGCTCTGGCAACATGTGGAAGAGTGTTGTCCTGCTGGAAAATGGGTTGTTGATGTTGTGCAAAAAATGGAACAACGTGGGGTTTGATCACTTGGTCGATATACCGCTGAGCAGTGACGCCGTGTCCCCGACCTTGACCAACATTCAGAAAGCACATGGGTCCAAGTCTCGCATTAAGTCCAATCCCTGCCCATATCATGACGCTAGGTCCACCCCATGGATCCCTTTCCACAACGTTTCTGTCAGCGAAACGATCACCTCGACGCCGCCAAATTCTGACTCTTCCGTCTTCATGGGAGACACAAAAGCGACTTTCATCAGAGAAGATGACACGCCTCCACTCACGATGACGCCAATTGCGATGACCCTGTGCCCACTGAAGTCGTGCTTGTCGATGCTGTGGTTGGAGAACAGGACGACGTGCTGGTCGGCGACATCTGAGGTTGTTGGAACGGAGACGTCGGATCACAGTGTCCCGGCTAAAGTGTCGATTGTGTGTTCCTATGATCTGTCGAGCACTTTCACTTGCAGTTAGGAACGGATGTCGCTGGTGTTGACGGGTAATCTGCCGATCTTGTCGAGGTGTGGTGACCCTAGGACGACCGCTCCGAGGAAGGTCATCTGTGATCTGTGTAGCATTTTATCGATGCAGGAGACGGTAAATTGTGGTTATGTTAACGTTGAAATGACGGGCAACATCTTGGACAGACTCTCCAGCTTCCAAACGCCCGATAGCCTGGTTTCTCTGAATTTGAGTTAGGCGTGGCATTGTTGACCAAGGAGTTGTAGGTCCAAGTATCGGCCACAGTTTTATACCAACTACAGTTCGTGACAGTTCGTGCGTTTTCGATTTCGCGAGAAATGGGTGCATGATACCCACATATTCATTGAAATGATGTGTTTTGGCGATTCGTTTTTTATGCTGCGTTTTTACTCGGGGCTTCCAAAATGCAACAAAAAATATTGATAACACCATCAGGCTTCACTACATGCTAAAACTCGTATCAATGTTTGTTACCTATTTGCTTAAAACCACTTGCGTTTCTTTTACGTGTGAGTATATATAGTTAGACGTGGCATATCATCAGATCGGCAACAAAGTTGGATGGTATCTAGCCAGATTCAGTATAACAGTACTATGATACTTGTATGATTACATGCCTTGGCATGCATTCAGATCATGGTGTTGTGGAGGGATATGTAAATCATTATGTACGTCATCATCCAATATACATGTTCGTTTTACCATTCATCAGTTTGATTCCGTTTCATCTTTCAGCGCCCAATACTGCTCAGATGATCAGGAAGGTCATATTGGCGATGGCTGAACTGTAAGTGTGTGTTACTGTGTTGACTTGTGTGACATGTTCTTTCCTGTACATGTATCTATTGCTTGCTTTAACATACTGAAAGATTAGCCTTTATAAGTGTTATTACAAGTCACTATTCATCAGCAGCTTGTGATTGTCGTCGCCAACTCCCGAGAAAGCAGTTTGCCATAGAGGTGTAGAAAGATTAACAAACAGTAAAATATCAAACGTATTTATGTTTTGTTAAGATGGATCCCACGAGAGGAAATTTCTATTATTCTTAAAACACTGTTGTTGAAATAATTATCTCAATGACACATACATATCATTATGATGAAGTAATATTCTAGGGAAATATTTGGATCTATTTCTGGAGTTAATTGTTGATATCTGCAATAAAATGTAAGATATCACGAAATGAATTAAGGATTTGGTGAAGCGTATTACTGATATCTTGAAAAGAATTGCTGATATCTTAAATTCGATTATTGATGTCAAAATATGATTTAAAGACATCATAATGTCATGTTTTGTTATGTCAGTAATTCAATTCCTGACATCTTGAAACTAAATACAGATATCAATAATTGATTATTGATATCTTCAATTGTTGCCATTATTAAAGACGTTACTTTAATAATGTTACTTAAATTAGATAACTGATATCAAAAATTGACATAAGTATATCATCAAAATTATTAATGATATCTTTAATTGGATTTTTAATATCAGTAACGGTCAGAATTAATGATATCTTGAATTGGATTAAAAATATCTCTAATTGAATTAAAGATATCTAAAACGAATTAATGATATCTGCAATGCATTTGTAGATATGTATAACTTATTTCAAGATATCTTGAATTGAATTTAGCATATCTTGAATTTATTTCTAATATATTTATGTACAGTAGGATGGTAATTGTTTAATGATATCTTAAATACATTTAGAGATATCACAAACTAATTTGTTGATATCACCGTAACATTTTAAGATATCAGTAATTGTAGTATGGATATCAGAAATGAATTTAAGATATCTTTAATTATTTTTTGATATCCTAAAGCATAATTGATATCTTTAAATAAAATACAGATATCTTTAAAACGATTGAAGATAATTCTGTAATTCCGTAATAAATGTGAAAACGGCTTGCCATAATGCCGCCTGAGAAGGCGTGGGTCGTTAATCATGTCTTCAGTCGCTGAACTTCATTGTCCAGACACGATTACTTTCAGGCTGCAGTGGTATATGTGGTACGATTCTGACTACAACATTCACTCATCCAAAAACCCACTTCACTCACTTACTTGACGTTGACACTCAGTGATATTTAAGCATGGGGCGTTAACACAAAACTCACTTCTTTTCAATTTCAGCGATCAGAGTAAACGACCATGGGCCGCCATGATGATCATCGCCTCCTGGTTCGTCCTCTCCTTTGTCCAAGACGCATGCTTATACTATTTGATGCAAACATCGGGACATCTGGCTGGATCAAACAATCACCTGTATCTACCCGTTGTCCTCTCGCTTGTAGAGATAGTTCTGTGTGTTGCTTCACTAAAACTGGAATACCAACAAAAGGAGAATTCTTACTTAGAAACAATATGTGTTATCGTTTTGACTCATCTCTCGGGCGTATTTCTTGCAAATATTTGGTTTCAAGTTCCTGATCTTCAATTGGGCATCGCGGGCGGACTGATTGAACCGATAACAGCTCTGGTACTAATCTATATATGCACCGGGCACTCTGGAAACTCTGTGAGGGCCGTAAGCTTGTGTATCATTTCTTTTGGGATGATCACTTTCACAATGAGTACATCCACTTTGATCAAAACGGACAGAACAGTCCTCATCAAAATTCTCTTTGGGGTGTTTGTCATACTAAGAAATATAAGTGTCAACTATTTGCACGAAGAAAAAGTCCACATTGTGCCAAGAACAAACACAACATTATCAGGTATCGTTGGAGGGATGTCTGTTGTTGTTGTTGGACTTTCATTGTACCTGGATTACGTTTGGCTACTTCCTCTTGCGTTAGCAACTATTACGTGTGTCCTACACGCATGCGTAACCTATATGACATGCGCACTCCTTCTTGAGAAGTACAGCATTACAACAGTGTGTGTCCTTAGCGCAGTACTGCAGTTCACAGAGGCACAGGTCCCATTGACGTCAACGCGGCCGCCATTTGTCATAGCGATTCTGGCGCTTGTGCTGTTGTGTGGTGGAGTTTATGCCTACACACAGGAAACGGTTGGCACTGGACACACCTTTCAGAGTCGTATGAGTGGTAAGTAAAAAGTGGTCATGGCAATTCCATAGTAAACCCTCTTTTGTTGACGCATGCCACATTATTTTGTGTATACACAGAATTTCATTTTCGTTTTCCTCCTCATAGTAAGTGTTTTGTTTTGAAATTTGTTTTCCTGTCCAAAAAAACTCTCTAAAGAACACAACCTCAGAAATCTGGTCCTGCAATTTTGATATGTTTTATCATGATAAATAAACATATTGTCATATTCCCACTATCAAAAATGTAACTTTACTTTGGTAAGTTTATGATAAATAAAAAAATACCGCTTTGAAGCATATGATCTAATTAAGCATTAATTTACCTCATTGACCTTTATAGAACATATAATATGTTTGAAACCCAGCCTTGGTGTCCCCTTCCATGATGCGTCTGAAATGTTGCTGAATCGCCGTAAAGTTCCGCACTGTCATATATACTATTGATTTGCACCACAGATCTTCTTAACATTAACATTAATTTCCTGAAGATATTGTTTTCGATTTAACAGTGTCTACGAATGAGATGTTCACTCGGATACAGTTCCTCCTCTTCTCTGCAAGTATAATCGGGGTTGTGTTCTACGGTCTTCAGCCGCGCGTGAGTCAGCGAGATCTCCAAACCCTAAGCAGTGTCGGCTTGGACAAGTTGATCCGTCGGCTACTCAGCATTGACATGCCAGAGGAACATGAACACTGATTGCATCACTGAACAAACTCTGGGTGGTCATACAAACTGGAGTGGTCGCTTTAGGGGCTTTTTGTATATACGGCACTACAACGCATATCATTGATGCAGGTGCTATTTGTTACTTTATCTGGTTCACCACATGGTTTATAGAGGGAGATGCTTAACAGGCTGGTGCCTATTTCCAGTTTAGGTCTATACTTTTAATCCTCCCATGTTTGAAACTGAGACAACATCTCTGTGTGATTTGGGCCTTTATTAATTCCAGGTTTGATAAAAAAAAAGCAATCTGATTAAGTACCAAAACAAGGATACATTGATGATAAAAGTTACAATGCCTAGAATGACTGTTACGCACCTGGGGCCGACTGGTAGAATTTGAAAGCGGAAACGATTTCCAACTGGTAGTGATATAACATAAATATGATGCACTATGGGAATATTGTATGGGAAATGTTGTATATGTTGATCAACGTCAAATCTGTTCAGAATGTGGAATATTATTAACAAACGTGTCCTACTTTAAAAAACAAAGCAAACAAGTTATCCACAATGACTCCCGTGAGTGAGTCGTGTAAAGTTCCTTTATTTCAGACAACCCACTGCAAAGCGCTATATTTCGGGCGCCAGTAATTCTGGCACAGTTTGGGGTTTCATAAGAGACATTGCCGAAACCAGCTCTATATTTGTCATCCGGCAGTTGAAGAGCTTTCGTGTTACATTAATATACAAAGAACAGTTCTCCATCTTGAATTCTCTAACTTCATTGAGTACACTGATACCACAACAGATGGCTCTATGTACAACGTATATGCCTGCATATTTTGTTTTGACGTCGCATAGGTTTATCCTTGGTTACCAACCAGACCAGACACCACAAGAGTTTTGACACAGTGATTTATTTCAGTTTGGTTTAGAACATTGTTGCTTTTTGGATGTTTTGTATCCTTACACAACAGTTTTCTTAATATTTCTTCATCCTGTGTTGCCTTCCTGCTACATAATCCTATTTTTATTACCCAAGCCGACTCAGTATTTTGCAGGGCTAACTTCCGAGTGAGTGAGTGTTCGCAAGATGTGTGTGGCATACAACTCAAGCAGGAACGTCTAGGTATTACATGCTAGAGGGAAACTATGACCAAGGTGTGAACGGATTTACCAATTCCAAAGTTTTACCAGAGAATTGTGTCCTGTTTTCTACGGGTTTTTTAGGCTAATCTTGCATGGGGGAAAGGTGGGGAAAGTTTGGCCAGCTACACTGGAATCCCTACAGAGAACGTTTTTTACAGGAAGTCGCTTATCACACGTGTATCAACTAAAACAAATTACACATTAAAAAGGGATTATTGACTTAGTCTGGAAAATAAGCTTAGAGGTATGGAGTGTGTTCAAAGATCGAAGTTGAGTGGACGTGGAGGGTTATACCCAAATTTGCAAAAATCGACTTATGTGGACCTAACTATTCGTTTGCTTTTTTTCAATATTAGGTTGAACTGGTGCATTTTGTGTATAGCTGCATCGAGCCATGCCGTGGAATCAGTAATATTGTTGGGTTGCCTTGTACGTCTGGTTAATATTCTTATTTTGGGATATAAATATATATGTACACTATCTTCTTTATGGTGTCCTTTTCTTTTATATTATGACCAACCGTTACTTAAATCATCATTATGAATAAAACTCCTACGCATTCTGATGGACATATGGCGGCACATGCATACCACGATCCGCTGGTCCGAATGCCAGATTGGCCTCGATTCTGAACCTTGGTTGCTAGCACCAAAGAGGTAAACGTGCCCATGTGTGAGTATCTCGTCATCGACAGGATTTTTGTTATACTGATATGAAATATGGCAGTTCGTTAAATATTGCATCTGATGCACTGGCCAAAATACCAGCGACAGACTGACCCAAAGGTCAGTTTATTCTATGAGCAATCGATACGATGTGCGCGCTTGTGTGTGCGTGCGTGCGTGCGTGCGTGCGTGCGTGCGTGTGTGTGTGTGTGTGGTCATGAAGTGTTACGCCAGAAAGTAAATAGCGTCGTTTACAAGTCATGGTCCGCAGGGACTGGTGCATAACCATCAGGATTGATCACCTCAATACTTCCTGGAGGATCATTTTTTTTGTTTTTTTGGTTTCTGGTTTTACGCCGCACTCAGCAATATGACGGCGGTCTGTAAATAATCGAGTTTGGGCTAGACAATCCAGTGATTGACATCACGAGCATCGATCAACGCAATTGGGATGCGATGGCATGCATCAACCCAGTCAACGAGCCTGACTACCCGATCCCGTAACTTTTCAACTCACTCACTGGTCACCTCTTACAAACATCGGTTGCGGGAGACCCAATCCAACCGGATCTTCTATAGTACTTACATGACGTACAATATGCACACAGTTTCATCTCGATTCGGCAGCTTAGGTAACTATTATTACGGTATTGTTACGGGTCGATTCCAAAATTGAAACAATATGTTTATCCAGAAATCTGAAAAAGAATTTAGTGTGAAACCAACCAAAAAGACAACCAACAAAGGGTATACAATCAACAACTGTATTACAAAATTAACTATGTTTACAAATTCATTTTACTGCATAGCAATTACAATGGCAGTACACAATGCGAAGAATAGAATGAAAAGAATAAAATTCACCCCCCGCAACTGGTCAAGCCTGGGCTGAACACCGAATGAAAAAATGATCTTTACACGAAAGTTGGTCTTGATGTAATGTCAGATGAAATGAGATGAGACAGGCACGCCCCCGCTCACGTATGTTTGGTTTGTTTGTTGTTTAACGCCGCACTCAGCAATATTCCAGCTATATGACGGCGGTCTGTAAACAATTGAGTCTGGACCAGATAATCCAGTGATTGAGCATCAATCCACGCAATTGGGATCGATGACATGCATCAATTAAGTCAGCGAGCCTGACCACCTGATCCCGTTAGTGGCCTCTGACGGCAAGCATTGGTTGCTGAAGACTTCTCACTCTAACTGTAGTTTAACTAGTTTCCAGCACTTTCCACACAGAGCTTGACCAGCCCAGTGTCACTAGAACATCCCAGAATATTCCACATGTTTCTATAACGCTTGACATCCGTCCATGCTATTCCGGAAGTTTACAGATAATTCGAGCATCTAAATAGATCTCACCACTGCTTACATTAAATATTACAACATTCCTGACAACTAATTATTGTCCAAATACAATGCAGTGAACTTCTACTGAATCTATACAGAAACAATGTAATACAGTTACAATAATTGTTTACCACTACACTACAGCTCCACATAATAGTATCAAAATCATGTACTGAGACTGCCGACAGCATGTGTATATGTTCAAGGCCTATTACCCATCACTTGTGTGGATACAAAGAACGCTTGTCTTACGCGAAGCTGGATCATAAAGAACATCTGTTGTCACCACGACTGTTCACATGGACGTGGTTCAAACGTGCGTTGTACGTGATATCAATGTATCTGCACTCGATCAAAATTGATCACAATCCAACTTTATACCTGAAGTGTTAAGAACGGTGCATTCTGCAACAGCTGGGCCCCTCGATCTGCGCCACTGGAGTTTGACGTATTGCTGATCTGTTCAGTTCTCAACACGTTCACTGGTGGTAACAACGGGTGCAATTCTATTTGCTGTTGATTCAGAAAGCAGTTTGTTTTTCCACCAAGATTTTAATCGTCATTTATGAAAAGTATAATGGAAGTCTATATGGAACAATAATAGCCAATTATGAGGAATCAGTTAACAATAATTGCAAAAAGTTAAAACTTACCCTGATAAGTCGAACGAACTTTTAGGTAAATTTTACCTAGGTACAGGTCGGTGCTGGACAATATGAAACTCGGATTCGAACCTCTTGAAGAAATTCAAGTGTTATCATTAGTGGCCACAATCCAAATTGGCTCAGGGACCAACAATTTGATATTCTGGAAAGGCCTTTGATTTTATCGAAAAAAACTCAGTTGTCTTGAAATCAAATAATTATGCTTCAGACTGTTGGAAAAAAGAAATTGTCTGCCACAAAAACCGATTGTTGACAGGTGTTTTCGTTTTAAAACAAGTCAGGCTCAAAGTTTTAGATAAAGAAATATCTGGTTTTGTAGCTGTAGCATTCGTCACCACTCGCCCCTTTCCGTAACCTGCAAGAAGGCTTGTCCCGGAATAACACGAGTTGGTCACGAATGGTAGCTGTAGTTGAATATATATGTAATCTCGATACAAAGGAATTTGTGTGGAGTATTAAATATTTTTCAGCTACAGCTGCAAAACCAGTTATTGTTTCAATTAAAACTACCAATCTCATTAAAATCAGATCTTAGTTCTCGCTGCCCCATCCCATTACGATTCACGTCAGAACGACCTCTCGCGAATTCTGACCGTCCAATGAAATGATTAACCAGAAGTCGACATTAGCCAATCAGGAAACAGCTTTCTGTAGCTTTACGGCACTACTTTCAAACTGGCGACTTCTATTCCAGACTTCTATTCAACATTTGAAAACTGGACGAACGAAAGTTCTGGAATGTCTATATAGAATCGGATATGGAAAGTCTTGTCTGTTTCAAATGTTTATCCAATTGGGAGGGATAGGCGATGAGCTTTAACCCCCCTGTGTCACAAACAACTCCTCCCTGGAACCCCCCAGTGTCCCAAACAGTTCCTTCCTGGAACCTCCTCAGTGTCACAAACAACTCCTTCCTGGAACCCCCCAGTGTCGCAAACAACTCCTCCCTGGACCCCCCTCTGTCACAAACAACTCCTTCCTGGAACCTCCTCAGTGTCACAAACAACTCCTCCCTGGACCCCCCTCTGTCACAAACAACTCCTTCCTGGAACCTCCTCAGTGTCACAAACAACTCCTTCCTGGAACCTCCTCAGTGTCACAAACAACTCCTCCCTGGAACCCCCCTGTGTCACAAACAACTCATCCCTGGAACCTCCTCAGTGTCACAAACAACTCCTCCCTGGACCCCCCTCTGTCACAAACAACTCCTCCCTGGAACCTCCTCAGTGTCACAAACAACAAGAGTAGCATAGTCAAACTACTTTATTCTGAATAGTGGTACAGTAATTAATTGCACAGCCGAGAGGCTGATGAAAGTGTATCAAAATAACACATTTGAAATATCAGTTAAATGCAACAGGAATGTTGACAAAGTGATTACCTAAGGTGTATGCCACAGATTTTTAGGTATTTTAGCACTTGTGATTCATCTGAGGCCAGAGACATTTCAACTTAATTCAGACTTGTAAGTAACCCATAATAATCTATATGTTCCTATCAAATCTCCTGAAAATCAAGCAATTTGATGACTCACATGGTTTGGGAAAGAAATTGATAAAATCATAATCTAGAAACTTGTCAAGGTGACAATTTCAAACTTGAATGGCACATTAAGCACTACAGCATGCAGATAAGTACTGTCAATCACACACTTCACAAATACAAAGTGAAAAATCAATATCACAGACAGGTCTAAGGACAGAAAACAATGCCAAATTATGCAAACACATGAACTAAATTAATACAAGGCTCTGTAGCTCACATATCATAAAATTTGTTGACAGGGATGGAAAAAACATGAGTTATGCATGTTATCATTACTGACATAGTGACCCCTTTGGTCAAACCCAGGAACATAAAACGGTGCAGACAAATCAAGAATTATAATTAAACGTTGGATTAAAACAATGACCAGTGGTTCACAAAATATTTAAGAATATTCAAATTCTGCATTCTGCATAAACTCTGTCATAATTCCTGGGGTTTATGCATATAATAACAAAATTCATACATATAGAAGATTATTACACATTGGTCTTGAAGCTTTTAATACAAAACTTCAAGCTGAATGTTCCACATTACATAATGAACACTTCAACAGAAAAAGCATTTGATCCTCAAACCGGACAGGCCGGGCACAAACGGGTTACCCAATGACCCAAGTCCTCAACATCTCAGTGCAGGTTCTGAACAGCGATTGTCAGGACAGGGATTCACTGGGATTCATCACACTGACTCAAATGAGGCCCTATGTCACTCTGTAAAACTATCAATTAGAATTCAGTACAAATTTCCAAAGGGTTCTTTGGGATGGCTAGGTAAATTTGCACTTAGTTTAACAGTGGCCGTAGCTCAGCAGGTTAGCTGTCCAGCTGACAATCCGAAGGTCCAACAAGTTTCTTTGTGACATGTCAGAGATCCTCCCCACATGGTGCTATATTCTAAAGGTGCTCCAATGTGACAATCTGAGACAATGTGACACCATTGCATAAAACATAAACACTCAAACAATCCAGACTATTGAAAACTATCTCCAAGGTACACCAAGTTATCTCCCTTTAAATTAACTGTGTTTAACTACTATTCACAGCACAAGGAAGTTTCCAGGTCAAGTCAGTGTAGAACATTTTTCTTGGGATGACCAGAAGACAACTGATGTCAACATGTCTGTATCTTGTCCTACTTTCTCATAAGATATTAATATCCCGTCATAGAAGTGTGTAATGTTCCTCTTTGTCTGCCACATGTTGAAGTCCAAATTTTCAAAGTACTGTTGAAACATTTGTTTGTGACAGTTTTGTTTCGTTTTTCACTTCAATAGAAGGCTCAAAGGACTGTGGCTTAGAGATTGCTGAATCTATCAGTTTGGACGACAGGCTAGGCTGATGGATGCCGTACCTGGAAATATTGAAAATTACTCATTTTAGGGAGTGAGTGAACACCATTTTGGATATATCACAGCATGCAAGTTTGATGTTGGAGTAAAGACTGAAGTGTTGCAAATCTTAGACATTTACCACTTTGGTAAAACCCACAAGCATGGGTATAGTTCTGACAAACCAAGAAACATAATTCGGGATTTGAAACCCATAAGGTGTGCAACTCTGCACAGCAAATTACAATGCCTTAGATGACTGGACCACCCATGGTCCTTTCCAACCTTAGTGACAGGTATAATTATATGTGCATATTGGGGCTGGGACAAGTCCAAATTTACTACCTGGGTACCCAACCCCCTATTACCAGACCCTACCCGAATACCCACTGTAGGTCTCCGAAGATGTTTCAAAATGTCTAATTGGAAACATTTTTAGCATAGTCCTGGCAAATCGTATTTAGATACATGTATTAAACAATCTGGTCATTCATACACTGAAGTTGAATTAAGTTATATCTTTATTCAAACATATGAAAAATCAGAAGAAATGGGTGACATTATGACAAATGCGAACATTACTGATTTGTAGTGTAACCATAGAGTTCTAGATAATTTTTGTGATTAAACAATATATCACATGACTAACCACGGGTCCGGGTAGTCCTGTGGGTACCCGGGGCCAACTCAGTACCTTCCTGACCCGGATACCCGAGTTACCCGTCCCAGCCCTAGTGCATATATACACAAAATATCAACCAGGACAGTAAGTAGCACTGGACCAGACAATGACTTATGTAACAAATGATTATGACAACCGCTTATGACAATGAACCGGTCGTATTCTCACCAAAACACTGTCCAATCTCTGTTGCTCCAACTTCCCTCACTTCTCCTGAAGTACCTGCAGACAGAATATGTAGAGACAACATCCTTCAATTGAGAATCGATAAAATTGCTTGCCAGGTCCTAATGTCTTATATAAACAAGAGTCATCAGAAAGATGACATATCCCCCCCCCTCCCCCCCCCCCCCCCCCCCCCCTGGCAGCTGTCTGTAAAGTAACCACAAGTAAATGTGCAATCCTGTATATAATGAGTCAAGAGTTGAATGTTCTTGAAGAAGCATACATTGTTTACCCACAAAAGATCCACCATGGTTGCATCCATATGAAATGGAAAGTAAAACAAGTGTGTTACTGCTGGGTTTTTTTTATGCAAACAAATGACAAATTACAGGAAACAATGACTAAACAAGTGTATAGTCAACGAAGTCATCTATACCCCCCGCCCATTTTAACAAGTTATGGTCCCAAACCATGTAACTGACCCAACATTTCTCTTAGCCCATGTCAAAATAGCTGCAATGGAAATTCTAAAATAAACATTTCTAAAACTCCTTAATATCAAATGGCACCAGTTCAGTATGTGCTTTATATATAGACATGCAATGTTTGGCATGCAAGTATTTAACAGTTTATCTGTTATAATCCATAAGTGAACCCATCCTATATTAAAACTTAAATCCAACTTGTTGCCATGGAAACATAAAAAATAAAGATTTCTAAAAGTGCTAAATATCAAAAGGCACCAGTTCAGTATGTGCCTGGTAGACATACAAAGTTTTGTTAGAAAGTATTCAACAGTTTTTGAGTTACGCTCCGGAAATGAACACCACCCTCATAGAACCTAAGTCCAACCTGTTGCCATGGAAACGTAAAAACTAAAAATTTCTAAAATTCATAAATAGCAAAAGGCACCACTTCAGTATGTGACTGATAGATTTGCCGAGTTTCGATCAAATACACTGAATGGTTTTCGAGTTCTGCCCCGGAAAAGGAATGATTACGGACAGATAGACGGACGGACAGACAGACTGGCTGATTGCTATATTCCCCCACATTATATGCCGGGGGGATAAAAACAGGTTCAAACCTTCATAGTGTTTTCACATTGATTACAGCCTCACCATACAGGCTGACAATTTACCCTTGTATGCCCTTTTTCATTCTAAAATATCATTATTAGAAATATTGTTGCTCTAGTTTTAGGGATAATCTAATAACAAAGTTTGGACACTTTAAGGTATGTATCCTACCTCAATAGGTTTTTTTTCAAATAAGGAATAATTGTGAGTGAACTATACTCTACACTGCTGTGAACTATACTCTACTGCTGTGAACTATACTCTACACTGCTGTGAACTATACTCTACACTGCTGTGAACTATACTCTACACTGCTGTCAACTATACTCTACATTGCTGTGAACTATACTCTACACTGCTGTGAACTATACTCTACACTGCTGTGAACTATACTCTACACTGCTGTGAACTATACTCTACACTGCTGTGAACAGTTTAAAGACTTAAGAGTCAGCTTATTTGGGGAGGCCATGTATGTTGATCACTTTGGTGAAACCCTAGACAATGCAGCTAGGGTGCTCACTAACCAAAGACGGTACTCAACATGAATCTTGGATACAAACCCATTATGAGCAGATCCTGTCACAACTAAGGGACAAGACTCTGCACAGCATGTCGCTATAGGTAACATTCAGTTCAGATGAGCTACAAATTGGTCTGGCCTTCAACAGTTAATTGAACCAGCCTTTTCTACTGTCACATCTATATGAATATACAGCAACATGTGTGTGACAGTTTAGCCTTAAATTGGATTGCCCACTAATTAAGAATATAAACTTCGCTTGTGGTTCTCTTTTATTGCATGCATGCGCTTCTAAGATCAAAGGATGTATAGTGTGAAAAGTTAACTAGTTGAACAATGTGCAAATGAACAACGAACAACAATACAATTATGTCTGTGTAAAACTCTCAGTAATAAAAGTGTACATAAATTTTGGGAGCCATGCGTTACCGCGCGTAGTAACCGAGGTAGCGCTTTATCGAAGAGTGCAATAGCGAGGGATCACTGTACATTAGGAATTCAAGTATACTCTTCAAACTCTCATATAAATATTTGCAACTTCATATGCTTGCAGTGTTTGAATAATAAAGATTTCCATTTAACGTAATAAAAAAATGTTCATGTGAATATTTGTTATATGTAAGGTGTATTGAGTTTCAATCATACCACAACTCTTGAAAATGTCCTCCTCTTATACTTGACAGAGGATAATGTTCTTGCTTTAGGCCGCACTCAGCAATGTTCAAGCTATATAATAGCGGTCTGTAAATAATAATGTCTGGACCAGACAATCCAGTGTTTGGCATCATGAGTATTGATCCACACAATTGGGATACGATGACAGGCATCAAATCAAGTCAGCGTGCCTGACCACCCAATCCTGTTAGTCGTTAGTCTTATGACAAGCATGGGTTGCTGAAAACCCGGATGTTCACGGGTCGACAGTGATTATGTATACATACAGTGTGTGGCTCTTGTAAGCAGGGGGGGCGGTCGGGTAGCCTAGTGGTTAAAGCGTTCGCTCGTCACGCCGAAGACCCGGGTTCGATTCCCGACATGGGTACAATGTGTGAAGCCCATTTCTGGTGTCCCCCGCCGTGATATTGCTGGAATATTGCTAAAAGCGGCGTAAAACCATACTCACTCACTCAGTGTAAGCAGGGGAATTTGTTGAAGGGTTTGACTTCAGGAATGCACCGGACCCCATTTGCCAAGTGAATGCTCATAGTACTATATCATTATTACCCCAGTATTTTTTTACCGTGGTCAGTGTGCACTCAAATTTCATTCTCAGCACCCTGGGGAGTATACAACCCAAGCTGCCATATAACTCAAACATTAAAAGCAAATTGCTTCTTATTATTTCTAGACTGTATATGTGATTAAACGATGAAGAGTTTGTTGACAAACTTACAGGTCATTGGATAACTGGCAGTTGGCTATTCCAAACACTGCTTCTAAACATTATACAATTTCCTCACAAAAGCCCTTCCACAACTAGCTCACCAGGAATTGATTGGGTTGTCTCCCCTGGACCGCCAGTAGAGCTGTTGGTGATCTCGCTTCAGTGTCTCCCACAGCATCTCACCAGTGCCCTCTCCCTGTAGGAAGATGCAAGCCACTAAAATTAACCTACATACTTAAGATTAATTCAAAAGAGTTGTACTTTACAACCAAAAACAGTACAATTTAATAATGGAGGCTTGTATGTAATCAAATATTACCATAGGGTCATGGAAATCAGAGTCTTTCCACTTTTATGACAGACTTGTAAAATAAATAAAGCCGCAATAATTTGTGATCAAAATCAAGAGATAAATCAGGACTAGGGTTGAGTTTTTCACCTGGGCTTTGACGGACACAACAAACTTGCAGAGATAGGGTACGTCCATATCATCTTTCAGGACCACGGCTGCTGCATTGTAGCTGTAACAGACAGGTGTGGATTATTTACCAACTTTTAGGGCTTACTTTCAGTTTGAAACATTTTAATATTGATGTTTGCGAACGCTTATGACAGGAGGCAGTGGTATAAAACCTAACGAGGGATGCCTAAAACCCAATGCACCCCGAGTGATACTGCTCAAACAATTGTATCTTACTGACATATTTTAATATGACATTGTAAAAGAATTAAAACAAATTCAAAATTGACAGAAAACAGCTGTTCGAGCTGAGCTGAGGTTAACTTTTGCTATGTCACGTGACTTTCACTGACTCAGAAAAAGCATGCAGCTTTTGTTTTGAATGGAAGTTTAAGGGATTTATTCTCCCACTCAGGAATCTACGTTCAGCCTGTTTTCTTCATAACGGGGTATAAGGGATTTATTCACCTGATAGAGAAATTTATTTCCCTCCATGGCGAGATACATAGTATTTTATCAAGATCACATGTACCAATCAGAAAAAATATTTATTCACCTTCTGACATGTATCACTCATGCTTTACCACTAAACGGGGAACACCTCATAGCCAACAGCTTTCAAAAATAATAATTGTTTTCAGATAAATGATGTGTCAGTTCTTTGTCTTTCAGAAAACTAAATGAAAGAAATGTATGAACTTTCATCACCTTTCTGACAAGTACACAGCATGAAGTTGTCCCTCAATAGACTTGAAGTAGTCTACTATTAATGGTTTCCTAAACGATCTGAAAGAGGAGAGCAGATTTATTGACAATTTGACGAAACTCTTTCTGTAAAAGATCAGTAATAAGTCTGTAATATACAAAAGAAAATATGGACTGTAATGTAAAGTTTCGGTCTTAGGAGGTGCGCTCACAAAGATGACTTACAGACGGTCCTGAAGCTGGTAGGGGGCGCTTATGACGAGTATGGTAATATTATTATGATCTCCAAAACTGTGAACACTGTGTTCTATTCCACACACGCCATTATTTGGGAACCATATCAGAACAGCCTGCAAATATCCAAGTTTGGGGCAGACAACTGGTTGATGATCAATAGTCGGCGCACAAAACTTCGTGCACGAAGGAAGGTCTAGTTTTCATCATTTCACTAATATTTTAGTGACTAGATATATGTACAAATGCAATACTTATGAGCATGGGGTACTTACGTCCTCTTCTGCCAAGGAATTGCCACAGGAGAAATACTTTCAGAATTCTTGGGGTCAGATTTCCACTGCCTCATGACTAGCTTGTTTGTGGTGACAAAAAGGGGATCCCTCAATCTCAAATGTCTTGCCTATGGCAAACTAAACCTTCCATCACAAACATCTCTTCTCAAAAGAATTGTATTTGTACACATATCTAGTCACTAAAATATTTTATAATATGTACTTTTGTCTTGAAACTCAATTAGAACATCATAAATCTTTCACATGCACAGACATTTCTCAACTCCCTGATACACTGCACCAACAACAATGACACTAAGCACATAAATACAAATGAGGTCTGAACAAAAACATCTAATATTTGTCTTTAATGATTCGGTAAAGTTTTTGATTAATGGAGAGTATTATGAGACATGTAAAATGGTGGCCAGTCATTGCTTAAACATTATGTAAGAGAACGGCTAGAATAGAGAATTAAAGAAATATGCTTAATCAATGTTAATTTATTTCAGTATGTTGAATCACACAAAATCTTGAAAGGTTGGTCCCTTCAGGTTTGAGACAGAGGGAGTCTTCTGTACACAGGTCTACATAGTAACATATACATTGCAGTACATACATATTGCATATATGCAGAAGTACCTACACATGCACACACATACATACATAGTGAAGAGTTGTGTCAGTCTGTTGATGTCAATACCCTCCAAGGTGGAATAGCTGTGGATAGGTTCTGTGATCTTGAAGAAAGTTCCTGAACCTAAAACAAGCCACACAAATATAATTATCATACAGTTAACGACATCCTAACCTCTGTTTCATTTGTGTTGGTATAAATAAACTCCATGTTAAACAAATAAGGAAGGCAATTTGGACATACAGGTACAAGATATAGGTACATGGACATACAGGTACAAAATATAGGTACATGGACATACAGGTACAAGATATAGGTACATGGACATACAGGTAAAAGATATAGGTACATGGACATAAAGGTACAAGATATAGGTACATGGAGATACAGGTACAAAATATAGGTACATGGACATACAGGTACAAGATATAGGTACATGGACATACAGGTACAAGATATAGGTACATGGACATACAGGTACAAGATACATGTACATGAACATACAGGTACAAGATAAAGGTACATGGACATACAGGTACAAGATATAGGTACATGGACATACAGGTACAAGATATAGGTACATGGACATACGGGTACAAGATATAGGTACATGGAGATACTGGTACAAGATATAGGTACATGGACATACAGGTACAAGATATAGGTACATGGACATACAGGTACAAGGTATAGGTACATGGAGAAACAGGTATAATATATAGGTACATGGACATACAGGTACAAGATATAGGTACATGGAGATACAGGTACAAGATACAGGTATATGGACATACAGGTACAAGATATAGGTACATGGACATACAGGTACAACATATAGGTACATGGACATACAGGTACAAGATACAGGTACATGAACATACAGGTACAAGATATAGGTACATGGACATACAGGTACAAGATATAGGTACATGGACATACAGGTACAAGATACAGGTACATGGAGATACAGGTACAATATATAGGTACATGGACATACAGGTACAAGGTATAGGTACATGGACATACAGGTACAAGATATAGGTACATGGACATACAGGTACAAGACATAGGTACATGGATATACAGGTACAAGATAAAGGTACATGGAGATACAGGTACAAGATATAGGTACATGGACATACAGGTACAAGATATAGGTACATGGACATACAGGTATAAGATACAGGTACATGGACATACAGGTACAAGATATAGGAACATGGAGATACAGGTACAAGATATAGGTACATGGACATACGGGTACAAGATATAGGTACATGGAGATACTGTTACAAGATATAGGTACATGGACATACAGGTACAATAAAAAGGAAAATGGACATACAGGTTTAAGATATAGGAAAATGGACATACAGGTACAAGTACATGGACATACAGGTACAAGACAGGTACATGGACATACAGGTACAAGATATAGGTACATGGACATACAGGTACAAGAGATAGGTATATGGAGATACAGGCACAAGACAGGTACATGGACATACAGGTACAAGACAGGTACATGGACATACAGGTACAAGACAGGTACATGGAGATACAGGTACAATATATAGGTACATGGGCATACAGGTACAAGATACAGATACATGGACATACAGGTACAAGACAGGTACATGGACATACAGGTACAAGATACAGGTACATGGACATACAGGTACAAGACAGATACATGGAGATACAGGTACAAAATAGGTACATGGACATACAGGTACAAGATACAGGTACATGGACATACAGGTACAAGACAGGTACATGGACATACAGGTACAAGACAGGTACATGGACATACAGGTACAAGATATAGGTATATGGACATACGGGTACAAGATATAGGAACATGGAGATACAGGTACAAGATATAGGTACATGGACATACGGGTACAAGATATAGGTACATGGAGATACAGGTACAAGATATAGGTACATGGACATGCAGGTACAAGGTATAGGTACATGGAGAAACAGGTATAATATATAGTTTCATGGACATACAGGTACAAGATAAAGGTAAATGGAGATACAGGTACAAGACAGGTACATGGACATACAGGTTCAAGATATAGGTACATGGACATACAGGTACAAGACAGGTACATGGACATACGGGTACAAGATATAGGTACATGGACATACAGGTACAAGACAGGTACATGGACATACAGGTACAAGACAGGTACATGGACATACGGGTACAAGATATAGGTACATGGACATACAGGTACAAGACAGGTACATGGACATACAGGTACAAGATATAGGTACATGGACATACAGGTACAAGACAGGTACATGGACATACAGGTACAAGATATAGGTACATGGACATACAGGTACAACATATAGGTACATGGACATACAGGTACAAGACAGGTACATGGACATACAGGTACAAGATATAGGTACATGGACATACAGGTACAAGATATAGGTACATGGACATACAGGAACAAGATATAGGTACATGGACATACAGGTACAAGACAGGTACATGGACATACATGTACAAGATATAGGTACATGGACATACAGGTACAAGACAGGTACATGGACATACAGGTACAAGATATAGGTACATGGACATACAGGTACAAGATATAGGTACATGGACATACAGGTACAAGACATAGGTAAATGGAGATACACTACTGCCTAGAAGTTCATTCCCCTTACACGCATGGGCAACGCGTTACGCAACCAGTGTGCATCGGGTTGGTCACGCGTGTGAGACCCGTGTGCAACGCGTTGCACACGGGTGTGCACCCCGTCCGCCACTCGTGTGCAACGCGTGACACACTCATTAGAGGGGGAACAAACTTTTGACCAAAGGAGGACCCGTCTTAAGCTGAACCTGGAGGTGGTAACAAGGAGAGAAGATTTTGTTATCCTGACGAAAAATGATAATACACATGTATTTCCTAATGTCTCCTTTCTTTATGTGATTTTGTGGGAATAACATGAATACTGTTGCGATTAAATAGATCTGTTTTGTTTTATACGACCATTGCTTCTAAATCCGATGGTGTTAAGAGAATACATGGTCCTGGAACATGTTATTGCAATTGAAATGCTTTTATTGTGATTTGACATTAACCGTCTGTAGTACGACTTTCAGTGATAATATGTATGAGGTTTGGCGGCGCATTGTTTTTATTGGACCCTAATTACTTTATGATGACTTTGACTCTTTATCACAGCTCCATAGCCGTGAGGCTGGAAAAGAGCAGCATGTAATTAATGAGGGTGGGTTATATCATTGAGGATACACTTGAGGGAGAGAATACTAATTACCGTACTACAGGAAGAGACCTGTAGACGTAAGCGCGGGGTTGTGTTTTAGCTGGCCGTTTGATAATGGCCGCCAGGAGAAGTGAGCTTTGCCTGCATCATCTAAAATAAATAATAAGATACAGCAGTGTTATTTTCACGGTCTGTTGAATAAACTCCCAGCGCAACGGTCAATGTATCTTCTGCTTGATCCTTGATACATCATTTTGTCTTTCACAATATATAGTATTTCAACGTACAAAGGACACTGATCTAAAGCAATTCCGCGGGAGTAGTTGTTACCTGTGCATTACTGTATTTTCCCAGTGAGTACCCGGATGATATAGCAGAAATCTAGACTTGTTCGCGACCTGTGCTCGCCATTCGTAAGCGCATTTTAATTGAAAGTAGAAGGACGTATGGTCACACTGATCAACAAAAATGAAATACAGTTTTTGAAATGTAGGTATATTTGTGGGGAGCATCGGTAATGGTGATGCAGTTTTGATAAGTCACTTGCTTGGTAATTGTGCGATCTTCGTGTACACTATTTTGACTTGCAACACAGAGTAAATATTTCATCTGAACATTGCTTATTTTACCGTGTGTATATGTTTACATTCAAAATGTAAACAGATTTCACTAAGGAAATGTATTAAAATGCCTAAATATTCATTTTATTTTACAAATTAACTGAAAAATATGTCCATCTTTATTAATATGATAACTAATTCCAAATATTTGTTTATGTTTAATACCATCACCAAGTACAGTTCTGTATTGTTTGGCTTCTTTTCTTAGCATAATTAATATATTGTGATGTGTTTAAGCTCTCTTGGTCGTCTTTATCATTTTTAGTCAGTCGGTTAAATAAATGAATGGATTATTCAGTCAATTTGTAAAATGACTGAAATATTTAGATATTTAATAAATTGCCTGAGTGAATCATATTTTACACATTGACTGTAACATATACACGCTTACAAAAGAAAATACTTGTGAAAACACCGTCTATCGCGCATCGAAAAACTTCCCACTTAAACGGAAAGGAACAAGAATGATTCTGTTCAAAGCTGCAGCGAATGAATGAAAACAAAATGCAAATATCATTATAACAACCTACCAAAGTTATAATGTATCCGGGAATATCAACATACAGGAACAATATCCATTGCGTCTGCAGCTGTACAAAAATACTTATTCGATGTAAAATGTCTATGTGAGAATCAAATACTTTAATAATAGTTATTTGGAAACAATATTTGGAATATATATGAAATATATGAAAATATTTAAATATATCGTTTTTAAACGTTATTCAAATGTATCGAATAGTATAACCCGTGTTTGTTTCTTAACTGATCACTTATTTTGTTTCAATTGTTTCACATAGCTGCCAAGTTAGCTGAGAAAGCCCACGTGACAACTATTTTTATAATGTCCACGGTTCTTAAAAACATACATTGAGTTAGATAACAATGAACAACCAGTCAGTGTATTATCGGTTACCCTTTGAACAAAGTATGTTGTTTTTACATCTGTACTTCACGCCATGATATGAGTATTCCCTAGGTTTAGTAACCCTACCTTCACATGTAAACACTTACTTTTGACATATCCACTGTGCAAGATAACAGTAATTAATCAATCAACGTATTTCCTGTTGATCCTTTGATGTCTGGGAATGATCAGTTGATTTACAAAAAAAGTAAAGCAACTGATCATACATCACTTGCTGGGCTGCGACGTGCATAACTCACATTCCACCTCACTTCAAACCTGGATTTAGATTAAATAATTACCCCAGGTACAAGAAAGACCAAATTTGAACCTTT